TTAAATTTATGAGGAAATGTATGCAGCTGGATTCCCATGCTTTCAAACACATGCATTGTTTTCTGAAACAAAGCCAATTCTGCTTCTAAGATTTTTTTTTTGTTGCTGATGTTAACATTCACCTTATAGAACACCCTTTAAATTGTCAAACACAGTACACTCTTACGATGGGCCTCTTCAAATTCCAATGGGCTAATCTCAACCCAGGACCTAGATCCCTCTTAATGCAAAATGCTTAGAAATTGGAAGTATGAAGAAACTATGCTGTCAGAAACACATGATACCTGAAGAGCTTTGATCAATCAAAAGCCTCATGAATTTTGATAAGTATCACCTTATTCGTTATCACTTCTATGATACCTGTTGATTGGTTACAATTTTTTTTTAGTATTATAATAGAAAACTAAATATTTGATTTTGTTTTGACGGTTTAAGGCCAAATGCATTAATTAATTTGAATTGCTCAGTGTACAATCAGATTACAGTGGTTGAGAAAGAAAATTTGAAGTTGTAGAGGATGTAAACACGGAGTCAATGGAACTACTTTTTAGGCCTAATAAACCAATAACATGTACTGGGTTGGAATTGACAAATGAAGAAACAGAATTTATCAGGGAATGTCATTGTAACTAGACCTGTTGATGGGCCGGGTAGCCCGATGGCCCGGCCCAGCCCGGCTCACACCCTGATCAGGCTTGGTTATGTCATTAGGCCCGCGGGCCTAACCTTGGGCCTAAAACAGTAAGCTCAATTGTGTTTCGGGCTGGGTTCGGGATTTGTCAAAAAAGTCTAGCCTAAGTCTGGCTTGACCCAATCCGACTCAGCATTATATATTTTATAAAATATATAATATGTATTTTATATATTATATAAAATATATAAATAATATAATATTTATTGAAATATATATTTATAATTTAATATATACATTTTTTATTCTTTTCTTTATAATTTCCCTCTCTCTCTCTCTCTCTCTCTCTTTCTCTATTCAGCCACTTCAGCAGTAGTAACAGTATGGGCTAAATTTCGGGCTTGGGCTCAGGCCCAAGCCCGAGCTTCGAGCTTTTTATGAGGGCCGGGCTCGGCCCCAAGTTGTAGGCCCGATGATTGGACCAGACTCGGGCTCGTGCCTTAGAAAAATCTATTAATATAGAGTGAAAGCCCAATCCGACCCGGCCCATGAACTGGTCTAATTGTAAATGAGCCATAGCTTTCAGGAGACTGTGTGGATAGRAAATTGTGGGCTTGTGGGTGGACAAATCCACATGTAAATTAAAGTAATTGCTGTCCAAATTAATACTTAAAGGAAGCTGGCCCAAAGCAATTTGGAGCACTTAAAGATGAATTCAGGACCAGGTCTTGGTAAAAGCCTGACCAGCCCTAGTTCATGTACTGATCCCAAGTCAAATCCTTGGCATGTGATTGTCATCTATTCTTTTTCGGCTTGATAATATTAATTTTTTCCCATAAATTAAGTATAGACAGGCCTAATGCAGATTTCTGATTTTCACAGTAGAGTTATAAATATTCAAAATGTTAATAATTCATATTCTATGTATTAACGCTCGTCCGTGAATTGACATCAATTCCGAAYTGACACCTATCCCAATAATACTTTGTGCATATAAATTCTGACCCAGGGCTGAACCGTCTCTCCCTAAATTAAATAAGATGTCCATTACCCATTGTTCTACCTATTAGGACCTAATCTGATTCAAATTGGCATGTAATTAGGTCAGATTCAAATTGGATTCTGTTACATTTGAATCCCATCCGACTACTCAAATATCGGACTCGGACTTAATCTCATTCCACCGTATTGTCACTAAATATGTATATAAATATATAATATCTATATACACATTAATATATTATATATAATTAGGCTCGAATTTTTATTTTATCAGATGGGTTAAATCCGCATCCAATCCAATTACCAAGCAGATGCAGGTCTTGTCATCCAGATACAAGTAGTTAATTTGGACGTTGGATCAGATATTGGATTTGAAAGACTGGACAGAGCCAAATCAACAAATAATTGATCACATGGAAAATAGCTTTCCTCTAAATCTAACCATTCGTTTGATTTCGCTTTCTACACACATGTTAACCTAACCTAAAACAAACAAAACCCTTGTAAGTGCAAAAGTTGGGCACCAGATAGAATCGTCCACCTAAATAGTGAAGCTTAAGACAAAACTCCATTAATTTGAACACCAAATTTGATTCTTAATCTCTTACCTAACACAGAAGCCTTGAATGCTTAAAAAGCTTTTGGCACTAATGATCAGTAGCCCACCTACATACCAAGTTGGTATCAATACTTAAATCAATAAAACATTTGCCTTCTGCTTTACCAAGGGCTGAACCCCCTGCTGGTTTCAACTTTCAAAGGCATCCCACACATTATAGAGTGAAATATTCATGTTAGGTAACAGTGGCTATGTGTCTATCCTTATCAATGCATTATGCGTAGATAACCAATACCGCTTGCTATAAAATACTATTCCATTATAATATTGGAAAAAAGAAAGAAGAAGTGGATAGAGATTCTCGGTTGAAATTAATTTGAGATAACATCGATCGGCTAGCTAGAAGATATATAGTTCCAGTTGGATGATTTGGACCTATCTTTGATCCTTCAAATGAATTGTATCAGATATCGTAGGTCTGCATCAAACAGCTGGATTGATTTGCCCCTGGCTTTTCATTTATAATATGTTGGACAACACAAGGGTAAGTATCAACAGATGATTTATTTAACCATTTTACCTACCACCAAAACCCCCAACTAATAATAGGCTTCAATTTGCAATTGATTTCATAATCAATTCAAATTGCATCAATAGATCTAGTCAGTTCATGATCACAACAACCTCCCTTCCGACCCCTCAATGCACTGAAGATTTCAGAAGTTGTGTGATCTCACACATGTGATAATAAACAAAAGTTTTTCTTAGCTTTTGGTAAAAACTCAAAAGTCTGATCAACTCCAGCAGCATATTAAACTCAGGGTTCACTTAATTTGGCATATAATCTTGTCTTGTGGGTTGTTTTACATTGCTTCCCTCCCTTAATTATATGTCTTCAATCTTCAATTATGTTCCATTTAGATATGTTTTATCTGTCCTCTTGGGTTGCTAATATGCTTGATCATTAGCATTTAAGGCTTGCCCATTAATTTTGTTCTGATAAATTAAAACAAAGCTTCAGGAGCATCTCAATATGGGAGGTTCTTATCAAGGGGAGCTTGAAGACAAGCGGTTGTACCTACAAATTAACAATATTTCACTCTTTAGGTGAACTGTTTCATCGGGGAAAACCACATAGAAAACTCAAAAAACTGGTCTAGAATCAAAACGAACCCAAGAGCACACTGGGCAATTGTGTCATAATTGGCCTCCTTTAATTTTCCATTTAAATGGGAATAATAATAGATCAAGGGTTCCTACTTCCTAGATGAAGATTTCCCTCCAAAGTTTTTAATTAAGCAACTGATGATATTCACGGTCCATTTGGGAAGGCTTTAATTAATACCAGTTTCACAGGGAAGTAAATTTCTTTATAGAATGAATTGAAAGTATATATATACATATAGAAACAATCCAGGTTAATTGTTTTGGTTAATGCCGAGCAATCAGTTAGGGCACAACTAATTACAAACAAAAAAAGTAAGTATAGAAACATTTTCTCTCATTCCAAAAGAGATCCCAACTGGTCTGGGGTTCCACGTTATTATCTGAACGAATTGTTGGTTGAAAATAGTTTTCTTTCTTTCTGTTTCTCTTCTTCTGTTAGGGAAGTTGGTTGAAAATTATGTTTTCCTTTTATTGTTTTATTTATACATGTTCTGTGGGGTGGTGTTTGGATGGAGATACTCTGGATATGAGATACCTTATCCTTCACCAAACAATACCCTATAAGAATCTTGTCACAGATGAATAATTTATTACCATTGGAATTTCGATCTGATTCCAAAGACAGGGTCTCAACAACCATTGTAGCCATAATATATCATCAACATCTCTATTCTAGGGTTGGAGTCATAATTTTTTTTTTTTTTTTTATTAGAATTGGGTCAAAAGCTAATGGATTGGAGGACCAAAAGTTAACAAGTATGGATAGGGCTAAAATATAAATGGGAGTTATCAGAATTTTTAAGGCATATTGGGAGGGCCATGGTTCTCCTCTGCCACCCCTAGCTCCGACCCTAAACAATGTTATCATGAAGGACAAGGGACATGTTTCTAAATTCTAATGTATGGCGGAAATGACTGTTAGGATTATATTGATTGTTGGGACCCAATCAGATCTTGTTTTCACGGTGTTGCTTTCCTACATGTGTGGTGTTGTATTCTCGTATCTTCTAAGTCATGTTTGGTTGGATAAACACTACTCACAAATGCGCCATGTGCAGCTGCTGTATTGTACTTCTTGCAGTTGTGCAGTCTTTTGTAAGCACTTATCTGTTTAATTAAAATTATAATAATTTATTATTTATTGTATTATGTGCCAAAACATTTCATTCTCTCCAACCCAATGTTAAAAAATTAATTAGTATAAATAAGAAACTTAAATGGTAATCTTATTCCAATGCCAATTTTTTAGACCATTAAAATTCCAATTCTAAATTCTGATTTCGACTCCAAGTCAAATGGGCCCTTAATTTTTAAATTTGATAACAAAGTTGAGAAGTTGAAAATAATATAATAAAAATTAAAAGATTTTCAAAATTTAACTACGGAAAAGTAAGGATGAGATTTCTGATTCACACTGTTGTTTTCATTTTTTTTACCCGTACGGCCGTACCCACCCATGAAAGGTAAATATACCTAATATTTGAGTATTTGATTGTTACCCTCCACCTCAGTTCCATTCTGCGCAGAGTAATAAGCACAACGGGCCACCAAGAAGTTAAGAAGGCAAGAAATAGAATCAATAAAGAAACAGAACCCCATAGGTCTGTTTCCAGATTGAGCCACAGGAGAAATGAGAAATGGGAAGAACATTCAAAAGTACAACTTAATAGGTTCATGCAGAAACTGCCTCTGGCATGACAGAGATCATAAAAAATAAAATAAAGACTATTGTCCATCTTATTTACACCTGGCCATGGCCATGCATCTATCACACTTGCCCACTGACACGAGATACTCATGCATGCATGGATGCTCGTCGTTCAGACTCGTCCATGGAAGCCTTACTCCTTGCATTTCTTCTTAATCTTTCTGGTGGATTACAGTTTAGCTCCTCCGCCTTCTCTGACGAACCAGAACGGGTAGACCGCCGCTGACGGTAGCGGTGAGCCCCGGGGCAAACCTCGGTGAATTGTCGGGCTCATCCACTTCGATCTCGAACCCTCGAATCACGGCAAGCATGACGCTTTTTATCTCCACCAATGCCAAATCTTTGCCTAAACAGACCCGAAATCCAGCTTGAAAAACTGGGTACTTAAATGGACTCTCCGGCCAGAAAATACCCTTCTTCAACCACCGCTCCGGCTTGAATTCAAGACAGTCGGGACCCCATACCTCTTCCATCCGCCCCATTGCATAAGGATGGTAGGTCACCCTCGTTCCTCTCTTCACGACTGTACCATCTGGGAGGACATCATCCTCCTGAGGGAATTTGGAGTCGAATTGAACCGGTGGATACAGCCGCATACTCTCATAAACCGTTGCTTGTAAATAATGCATATCTCGTAGTTGTTGGAAAGTCGCAAGCTCCTGGGTTGGTCCCATAACTCGGTCCGACTCTTCCAGGATTGCCGTTGTGACTTCTGGATGCTTTGCCATCAACCAAAAAATGCTGGTCAGTGCAGCAGCCACTGTGTCACGACCGGCCAATAAAAAGCTCACCACGATGTCTCTCAAGTACGCGTCGTCGTTCACGGTACCCATGAACCTCGACAGAAGGTCCAAATGAGTGGAGAATCCTAGTTTACGCCGCTGCTTAATCACCTCATCCGCGAGGATGTTGATTAATCTGATGGCCTTCTTCAGCTTCTTCTCCGACCCCAAATTCAGCAGCCGCTTTGCCTTCCAGACCAACGGCGACAGAGATAACGCCCGCTTGGCGCACAGTCTGGACGCTAGATCAAACGCCATGGCAAACTCCGACATGGGAAGCGATAACTCGAGGCACCCGGGGTCTAACCCAAAAGAGAACCGGCAAATGTTATCGAACGTAAATCGTTGAAACACGTCCTGTAAATCCAACACGCGGTCTTGTTCATCACTCGCAGTGGATGACAAGAACGGCAGAAGCCGGTGCTTGATCTCGCTGGTCACTATCTCGAAGGCGAACGATCTTATTGAGACGCTGCCAAGCTCCAGACTGGCCATTTTCCGCTGAAACTTCCACGTATCACCGTCGACGTTGAAGATGCCACGGCCCAAGAGGTCGCCCAAGATGGCGGAGAAAGGCTTCCCTTTTGGATAATTGTCGAACCTCGTCTTGAGCATGTACTCGACGTTGTCTGGGTTAGCGGTGATGGTGTTTCCGAGCACATGAATATGGATCGTCCGGCTGGGGGAGTTCTTGAGGAGATGGGTATACCAATCGCAGAGATTATCGAATTCAGTCGACCAGCTGGAGGTGACATAACCACGACAGACATCACACTTACACCAGGCCTTCAGTCTCACCAAGTAAGGCAAGAAAGAGAAGATGGAGAAGCAAAGAGCGAAGGAGAAAAAGAAGTAGCAGAAAGAGGACTGCAGGGATTGCAACAAAAAGGAAGCTTCGTACTCCATTATTGATCGATGGATGACCAAAAACCAACACAGACAGTCTTTTTATATCCAGTCCGATGTGTGCATCGTCGACAAAGTTATTTTTCAGTGCTTTTTTCTCGCTCACTTCCCACCCAAACGAGACATTCAGGAATAAAATAAAATAAAATAAAAAGAGAAGGCAGATAACACGTGCTCTTAATACCAAAGTCGGTTAACTGATGAATCTGTTTTTCAATCCATACATCAGGGCCCAAAGTTGTTCACGTGCTCTTATCGTTAGTTTGGGTTGGACTTTGGACTTTTGGAGTGACCGAGTGAACGTTTCCTTTCTGAGGAAGAAAATTGAAAATTCCAAAGAAAATGTTGCTTAGCTCTGTTTGGAGCTAGGAAACAAACGATTATTTTTTTATTTTTTTGAGGATAATAAATATTTAAATTAATTCTTTTTGACTAGCTAACTTAATCAATTTCAATTCTTTTTCTACAAAGTTTGTCCGAGCTTCATGCATGTTTCTCGTTTTTCTCGTTCTGTTTGATGTCATTAAAACCCACGTGGCATATTGCATGGTAATGATGTGGACACAATTTTTGGGTTAAAAAAAAAACAGTTTGTACTTTTTCATTAGATGAGTTTGACATTCACTGTTAATTGATCCGTTTCCTCTTTTTCTTTTATTGTGGTAGCCAAATCAGCTTTCATTCGGTAAGTCTTCTGTCTAATAGAGATTATTAATTAGAGATCTAGTATGATTCAGTCACAACAATCCCCTAGTAGCCAGTAGAAATAAGTGGGTTGAAGGGACTTCTCTTTTAACTAATTGAGCACTAGAAAAATTTAAAGAGGGCACCTCTACTTAATTGAGCATTAGAAAATAGGCTAAAGCTTAATTATTCTCCTATCAAATCCTCCTTAATTATATATTACTATTTAATGGTATATTTTTCTTTATACTTGATTATTTAGATCATAGTTTACAATGAAGATGACTTTCATAAATAAAGGTTTTGATTTTCTAAAGATTTGTTCAGTTCTAATTATTATAATGTTTAAGGAAATATGAGATGAATAATTGTTAGGATTAGGAGTCCGATCAGTGTATTATCTTATCCTTTCGTTATCACGAATAGTTCACATAGGATAAGGAAATATATGTTTGAGTCCCTGTAAACTTAGGAGTTCTAGTTGCCATAAGCTTAAGAGGTTTGGTGGTTGTATTCATGTGTATATATATTTGAATTCTCAATGAATAAAAGACAGAAAAGAATAAACCAGAAAAGCTTTGGTTTTACATGGTATCAGAGCCACGAAACAGGAGCAAGAGGTTTGCGTTCCAAGACCTCTGGAGATCAGTGGCGGCAACAACGATTGTTCGGCGCTGGCAAAGGACAAGCTTTGAACTCCAGATTCAGTTCGATACTGTGCTTTTCGCAGGGTTCTTCCGATCTTCGCATTTGGTATTCTCTTGGACGGTTCTTCTTGTGCGAGTAATAGAGAACTCGTTCTCCTTCAACAGAAGTTCAAATCTTCGCCTTTGGTTTTCTCTTGGACGGTTCTTCTTGTGCGAGTAATAGAGAACTCGGTCTCCTTCTACAGAAGTTCCAACCTTCGCCTTCGGTCTTCTCTTGGATAGTTCTTCTTGTGCGAGTAACAGAGAACTCGGGGGTTCGTTCTCGAACGCACTGATTTTTGACAAGTCTTTGGCATGTTTTAGGGAGATCCTGAGATCGGTTCTTTGTCTCTTGTGGCACCGATCGTGGGCTTTCAGACACAATAGTCGGCATGACTGAAAACTGAGAAAAAGAGCAGGGCGACAGTCAATGGACAAGGAACGTGATCTCACCCTACCTTCTATCAACCAATGACAATCCAGGTAGCATTATCACACAGATCCAGCTTAGAGGTGACAACTATGATGAATGGGCTCGAGCGATAAGAACGGCGCTGCGAGCCAAGAAGAAATTCAGCTTCATCGATGGATCGGTGAAACAACCTTCAGACGATTTGGAGAAATTGGAAGATTGGTGGATGGTGAATTCCATGCTTGTGTCATGGATTCTGAATACGATTGAACCTAATTTGCGTTCAACCGTAACATACACTGAGATTGCGAAGACGCTCTGGGACGACATAAAGGAGTGATTTTTTATTGCTAATGGACCACGAGTTCAACAACTCAAATCAGAGCTGACGAATTGCAAACAAAGAGTTATGACGATTCTGAATTACTATGGCAAACTCGAGATGATTTGGGAGGAATTGGGAAATTATGAGCAATATCCCACTTGTTAATGTGGTAAGTGCAACTGCAACATAAGCAGGTCATGGGATAAGAAGCGAGATGAAGAGAAGCTTCATCAATTTTTGATGGGGCTAGATGACACGGTCTATGGAGGTGTGCGTTCACATATACTAAGTACAGAACCCTTGCCAAGTTTGAATCGAGCCTATGCCATAGTGATTCAAGAGGAGCAAGTCCAAACCATGACTCGCACAAAGGAAGAGAAGATTGAAGCTGTGGCCTTCGCAGCCCACACAGGGAAGAGGCAAAGCGAAGGCAGAGACAAGAGCGTGGTGGACAGAAATAAGGAGCAGGGGCAGGAGGAAAAGGTCGTGGCAGCCCAGTCAAGGCCAATACAGCCAAAGCCTCTACGTAAGGCAATGCGTCTCAAGGAGAATCAATTGATGCAGCCAAGACTAGGTTAAATGAACTGAGTAGTGAGCAGTAGAACATGTTACTCAACTTTTTTGAACACACAGAAAGAGGGGAGTCAACGACTAAGTGGTAAGAAAAAATTGTCAAAATGGATAATAGACATAGGGGCCTCTCATCATATGATAGGAAGCCTCGAGTCGATGAGATACATAAAGAATGTCATTCCGTGCTCTGTTGGGCTAACAGACGGGAAAGCGACAATAGCAGAGAAAGAAGGCACAGTTGCACTAGACGATCATCTGAAACTGACTAGTGTTTTACATGTGCCTAGTTTGAATTGCAATTTACTTTCTGTATCGCAATTGATTGAGGAATCGAATTGTATTGTCCAGTTCACTAATAAATTCTGTGTGATACAGGACCGCACTACGGGGATGCTGATTGGAGCGGGTGAGCAGCGAAAGGAACTCTATTATTTCCGGAGCATTGCATCAACAAGAGCAATGAAGACTACAGAGAGCAGGACGTGCGATATTTGGCATCAAAGGTTAGGGCATCCTTCTTATAGAGTTGTTAAGTTGCTGCCTTTTATTAGTACTAAGAATAATAATGATGACAGTATTAAGGGTTATGATGTATGCTTCCGAGCTAAACAATGTCGAGAAGAGTTTGTTTTTAGTAATAATAAAACATCCGATATTTTTGAGTTAATTCATTGTGATTTGTAGGGTTCTTATAGAACTGCAGCTTCTTGTGGTGTTCACTATTTCTTGACCATAGTAGACGATTTTTCTAGAGGCGTTTGGATTTATCTTCTGGTTGACAAGACAGAAGTGGGACGAGTTCTTTGAATTTTTTTTTGCTATGGTTCAAAGGCAATTTAACAAACCTGTAAAGGTGATCCGTACTGATAATGGGACTGAGTTTGTTTGCTTGGCTAGTTATTTTGCTGAAAATGGTATTATTCATCAAACCACTTGTGTCGGGACCTCTTAACAAAACGGGAGGGTTGAACGCAAGCACCGCCACATACTCAATGTTGCCCGAGCCCTATGCTTTCGAGCTAGCTTGCCTATTGATTTTTGGGGGGAATGTGTCATGACCGATGTTATTTGATCAATCGGACACCGTCCATTCTGTTGAAGGGAAAAACTCCCTATGAAATGTTATTTGGGTGACCTCCTTCTTATGATAATATGTGAGTTTTTTGTTGCTTAGCATATGTGCACAATCATGGACATGGAGGGGATAAATTTGTTAGTCGAATCAGACAGTGTGTTTTTGTTGGGTATCCTTTTGGAAAGAAATGATGGAGCTTGTATGATTTAAAGTCCGGCATGTTCTTTGCATCAAGAGATGCTAATTTTTTAGAGCATGAATTCCCGTATGCACAGCCAAACAAAAGTACAAGGCCAATTTAATTGTGGAATAGGTGGGGCAGATGAGGTGTTGGTACCATCCACTTATTTATCTTGACTAGCAAATGACGAGATGGAGGCTAACCAGCAAGGTGCACTCACTGAAGAAGGAGTCCGTGTAGAAGAAGGAACCCGCGTAGACCCAAATGCAAATGCTGGTGAACCCATGCATTCTTGTGACGCCACTACAGAAAATGCAAGCGAAGACAGTCCTGATGTCAAGGGGGGAGGCGATGTTGAGCAACAGTAGCACTCTGAATTTCAACAACAGCACTACGAATTTCATTTGGGGTGTGGGCATCGACAGAAACAGCAGTCCACAAGGTTGAGAGATTATGTGCTTCACACCACACAACGCTTAAGTCCCTATCCACGTCCCTTAGCTCACTCGATCAATCACACTCTGCATGTAGTCCTTATCCCATAAATAACTATGTAAACTGTAACAATTTTTCTCGTCAACATCCATAAAATTTGATATCGAAACATTACTATTTGCCATAACTAGAAGATTSGACATAGTACCAAACACTACAAACGCCTTGTAATCCAACCGTGGAGTAATTATTAATTTCAAGAGAAGAATATATGCATGACAGCTTTAGCGAATATAACCGGTGGTCTTAGTTGCCATCATTATCATCATCTAAACTTGTCCCAACCATATGGGCCGGGTTGGCCACATGTTCAACCCTGTCCATTCCATCAGTACGTACCATATGATGTTTAATTAATCCTGGCCACATGATTAATTAGTCGACGTCCCTCCAACTTGTTAAACAGATCACTTCTTGTCTAAAGGCCCTCATCTATCTAAACATCCCCGTATGAATGAATGGAATCAAATATAGGATCGATGCATCCAATCAAATCAATTCCATCTAAATTTTTTATGGTTTATTTTGTATGTTCATCATTCTGATAAAAGAGCACATGTATAAATAGCCCAGGAAACTTAGCTTCCATGTATTTATGTGCGGT